TCTTTGTCCCCATATTTATTAAAACGTTTCGGCCGTTGTACGCTCCGGCCTTCTTCTGGTGGTTGGAATGTCAAACTGAACCCTTTATTTCGCTCACTGGGGTAGACTGTTCTAGTTTTACGTGCCATGTCTAACGAATGTCAGTTATCAGTTATCTCCTGTTAATTTTACCCCCACCTTAATCAGGTATTGAACTCACACTTTTTGGATCCTGTCACTGGATCTAACACCTTTATCCACTGTACCATGTGTCCTTGAGGACATTTGTGTATGAATTTCTGGGTATTATAAACCTAATGTCTTCAGCAACCATTTTTACCAGTGCTCATATTGCAATTTTGCTGTTATCATTGCATTTTTTTTTACCAGAGCTCATATTGCAACTTTGTTGTTATCATTGCTTTTCTCTGGCACTCCTTATTATTGGTTCCTATATTGTATTTATTTCTATGCTTGGTCGGCTCAGGAGATTTTTGTGGCCTAGCATATGTGCTGATTCCTTAAGTTTACGAATTTTGAGGACACATGGCACAGTGGATAATAATGTAAATAGTGTACATAATATCACATCTCAGAAATATAGACAGATACTAAAGAACCAATATATATGTACAAACAAGTAATAATGTATTAACAACAAAGAGTTACAAGCGACAATGACAAAGATGTGTGTCTCAAATGAATGTGAAAAACTAATGGTTTAAATTATGTGTAGTGAGTAAATGTACATACGTACGTGTGTGTGAGTGTGCCTATATATGTATTGTTCATGCGTTTCCCAAAAGGGAACGCGTTCTCCGCGAAAGATTTACATGCTGACGTGACAGCAGAAAAAGTAAAACGAGAATGATGAAAAATTATCGTTGAGTATTTATAGTCCTGAGAGCGTCTCCCAGAAGCAGCTTCAAAAATTAGTAGGAGATAATCCGACAACTGTTGCACATTTTTTTTTCCAAATTTTCCAAAGTGAATTTTTGGAAGACGTTTTTTTTTTCTTTTCTCCGTAATTTCATCGGACATTACGGGAAAAGAAAAAATGATCACTTTAATTATTCGTCAAATTTAATGAGGTATGGTATTTATCTGCATGCCACTCACGCAGAATGTAACACAAGGCCAAGCTTAAAGAAGAATGAGTGTCTACATCGATTTTCTTTAATCAATTCACACCAAGCAAGGCGATAATACAACAAAAACACAAGGGGCTGCTTCTGGTGAGGGAAAAATGTAAGTAAATAAATAAGGGACTCGAAACCTGATCCTAAACAGGAAACAGGTGAATAATAATGACATAATCAAAATGTTGACGTTCTACACGACTTCAAACAAAAAGTTAGGAAGGAAACATCCATCAACACTAGAGAGATATTTTATTAAGAGAAAGATTTTATAATTTTAGACCAACAATGGCACTGGCTGCTCGGTCAATAAATGCCGAATGTTTCCTTATAAGGAAATAGTTAATATTACAATTACCATTAGAGACAAGAAAAACAGATATTACATTTTAATTCTAGCCCGATCATCAGGGAGTAAAGGAAAGCCGAGTCGAATTGTCTGCTTGGTCAATGAATGTCAAATGTCTCCTTTTTGAAAATGGTTAATATTATATTTACATTAGAGATGAGAAGAACAGATACTACATTTTGATCCCCACCCCATAGCCAAGGAGTGAAGAAAAGTGTAGCCCGAGTTGCATTGGCTGCTCTGTCATTTAATGCCGAACGTTTCCTTTTAATAAAACCACTAATATTATCATTACAATCAAAGATGAGAACAGATAGTACGCCTTAATCCCAGCTTGTTAAGGTATAATAATTTTTAACATTTCAAATCTACATTTGGGCTTGAGTCTTTGTCATCTTTGTTACAAACCCATTTGCAGGTTCATGAAAACAATCACTTTAGAAGGGCTGTCAATGAAGATATGTATACCAAAAATGTGGATCAAGAACAACTCAGAATTATAATATTGGACAGAACTTTAAGACAGCTGGATTAATCGACAGCAGTAGCGTAGCTCGAGGGGTGAGATGGGAGCAGTCCACCTGGGCAACACTTTTATGAAGGTGGTTCTTTTGGGTCTGCTGTATAAGCATGTATTTTACTAGTTTTAATGTTGGGACACAGCTCACAACCTTTTCGATTTCAAGTAACTTAAACTATGGCGTATGTATTTAAGAGATTGTTATCTTGGCCAATCAATAAACGTTATCCAGTGGTATTCAGTGCTGTTTTATCATTGTTGACAATGTGAAACCTGTGAACAAACACAGTGTGCGCTCTTTTGATGTCACAGAAGCGCTGAATGTGGGAGACACATCTTGGTTGTCCTCATATAGATTTCAGTTATTTTCCTTGAGAGAAGTTTCTTTCAGGATATGTATAGCTATATTTTTTGTCTTATGAACCTGTTAATAGTTTATATATATATATATATATATATATAAACGTGAACATTGTAGTCGACACTTGAAGGCAACAGGCTATCTCATGCTAGACACAATCGTCAAGCCGCCTGACGATTGCATCTAGCATGAAACAGCCTGTCGCCTCTGAGTGTTGATTTCAATGTTCACTTTTATTTTTATATTTACATATGGTCTATCTCTGATATTGAGCGCTTTATCCCATAAATATAGCACACTTTAAAACTATATTTCTGCACACACACACAATATATATATATATATATATATATATATATATATATATATATATATATACAGGTAAGATGAAAATGAACAGAGTACAATTCCAACATTTAATTTAAAAGTGGGCTCAATACAAAGTAGAGCAATATTCTTTATTTTAGGATATTACATCAAAGAACATGTAAAATATATTTAAAAGTATATATATATATATATATATATATATATATATATCATAGTTCGTGGGGAGCACTGTCCTATGGGTAAAGAGAAACTTGGATGAGTTACACCACGGAATATGTGATCGAGCGGTGCTGTATCGAGTCTAATTCGCTACCTCTTCATCTCCGAGGCCCGTTTGTACTGTTGGTATGATTTTTGCTTGATAACGTAACTGTCAGGGTTTCAATTCTTGGTAGTGGATGCGCACTGCTGATGAGTCCCAAATATAGGACGAAACGGCCGTCCAGTGCTTTCTGCATTTTGTGGAGGTTTCTTCTAGACTCAATGAATTACTTAATTATGATTATTTCAAACCCTCTAATAATTTCTATCACACAAACACACACACACACACATATATATATATATATATATATATATACCCAAGGATATGATTGGTGTATACGGAATAAATTCCACTAACCAACAATTACTATTCTTAAAATAGTGCTCAATACAGAGTAGAGCAGATATAATTATTGATTTAAAAATTATAATATACGTTAGAATAGACGCTAAAATCAGATGGTTCTCGACAGTAATAGGAGCTAAAGTGCTTGACAGTAATAGAAGCTAATTTGAGCATCTATTCTAACGTAATTTCAATGAAGAAATAAACTGAATAACATATGTATTTTTTCTTTTCTCCTCAGTAATTTTATAATTTTAAACTTAATAGAGATTAAATTTAGATTTTAAAATTGGTAATTTTTTACTTTTAATTTTAATATCAAATTTTATCATATAATTTAATACTTATTGGTTAGAATAAATTCTATTTTAGTATAACCCCAAATTTAAAGCTCTTAATAGCTATTATAACCTTACTTCGTTGTCAAGTTTTTGAATTCTCTTATACTTGTGTTTTGATTGGTAATTCTAGCTTTTGTAACAGCGTTTTCCCCTTGCGAAGTATGGTTAATTAATTTGAAACTTTTAAAACCATTTATTTTACATTCAACATCATCACTTGATAAGACACCGGAGGTGTTGAAACGAAATGGCTATTTTTGTAGTGATTTTATAATATATTTATGTTATAATTTTTAAATAAATAATTATATATATATATATAAATATATATATATATACTAGCAGCATGGCCCGGCGTTGCTTGTGCTTGATTAAAAAATTGTACGACTCATACAGCAATCGCTATCACTTGACTTAAAATATTTTTGCCCTTCCTTGCCTTTAAAGGAGTGCCCTTTGCTGTGCTGATGTTGCTACATGCCTTACTTTGTGTCTATCTCACACTGCAAATTTTCTAAGCTCTATACTAAACATTAAATCTGTTACAAAAAAAGAACTAAACAAAATGAACACAAAACGATCAGCTTTAAAAAAGGACTCATAACTGGAAAAATCGAATAAAAAAAGAATGTTAACAACAAATACTTTTTCACACCCAACCCAGTTCTGCGGAATCAGAATCAACGTTGAGTTTAAGCAAGCAACTGAGCCAATGGGAGTAAAGTGCCATGCAGATTTAAATTTTTCCCACTTGTGACGAATGCAGCTATCGATTTTTTTGCATACTAGCATGCTAGTTAACATTCGTGTCAGTCAGCTGTTGGCTCTCACGCTGTCCAATAGAATCTCTCTGCCTATTCGTGGCAGCCAGCTATTGGCTCTCACTCTGGCCAATAGAAAATGGCCGCAAATGATATGAAAACCGCCGTAGAAGCCTGAAAAAATCGATTATTTCCACTATCAATGGAAGTTGGGAAATGCAAAGTCAGTCTTGGCCTTCCTGCTAACTTGGAGCATGTGCATGTAAATTTTGGTGCAAATCTGTCGAAAATTGCGGCCGTGCATTCATTACACACACACACACACACATCTTGCCTTTTATATATATATATATATATATATATATATATATATATATATATATATATATATATGTGTGTGTGTGTGATCTGGTTTTTTTGTGGGGGTTGAGGGTAGGGAGAGTGCTGGCACAGTCTCTGCCCTGGTTGGCACTCTAGCTACCTCAATGATCAACAGGCAGCATAACTTGACTGTAAAACAAGACAAAGAAAAATTTATATGCAAAATAATATACTTCAGTTATACAGGGTGGATTTAGTATTAAGAGCAGGGTGCGGCCCCCAATCGGAAATGGAGGGGATCAGTGTCTTGCTGGGAAGTAAAGTGGTTGTCCGTCAATGTAAGCATTTTTCACTTGTGAATTGCTGCTTATCTGGCACCAGAATTGACAAAGGTGTAGAGTAAGAAATAAATAAAAAAAGATAAAATGAAACAATAAATAAGTAAAAATAAATTTACCACATTAGCAACAATATATAAAAATAATTTAAAGTGGGGAAAGGTTATGGCTAGAAGCAAAATAAATTATGATCTCTTAGAATTATTTGGGCGGATTATTCCTAAAATATATATTTTAGGAATAAAATATATATTTTAGGAATAATCAGCTCAAATAATTCTAAGAGATCATAATTTATTTTGCTTCTAACCCTAACTCTTCCCCACTTTAAATTCAGTTTATCTATCTATCTATCTATCTATCTATCTATCTATCTATCTATCTATCATCTATCTATCTATCTATCTATCAACCAATTGTAGGCAGTTCTTCTCTATGAATGAATCTATCTATCTATCTATCTATCTATCTATCTATCTATCTATCTATCTTTCTCTCAGTCTTTATATATATATATATATATATATATATATATATATATAGATAGCATAATGAGAAGCCACGTATACTTTCTTAATATGTATATATAGAAAAAGTTTCAAATTAAAAATTATAATGTTTTATTTTATGAAAGTATTTATTTATTTATATATATATATATATATATATATATATATATATCGCTCTGTTGTTATTTATATATCTATATAATACATAAAAGTTTAATAGAGTTAATTCAGATCAGGAAACTGCTATTAAAAAATGCTCAATACACATGCAACAAAAAAAATAAATAAATAAAAGTAAAGTAAAAATAACATGTAAAGCTTTTAACTTTAAAAATCAGGAGATCAGTTGAATCCGATACCTTGGCTTCAACCTTATGGTATCTTTAAGCAATTTTGATCAAATGACCATTTAACATTTTATTTTATTTTATTTTTTTTTAAATAATGAACACTATATAATTAATTAAAAAATAAAACAAATGCACAACATTGGATCTATCTATCTATTTCAGTCTGTTCTTACCTATCTATCTATATTTATATCAATCTCAATCTGTTCACATCTATCAGTCTATGTACATATCTATCACAGCCTGTTCAAGTCTATGCTATCCATCTTAATTTGTATCTATCTCTCTCTCTCTCTCTCTCTCTCTCTATCTATCTATCTATCTATCTATCTATCTATCACAGTCTGTTCAGATCTATGTATGTATGTATGTATATGTGTGTGTGTGTGTATCTCATTCTATTCATATCTATCTATCTCAATCTGATCATATCTATCTCAGTCTGTTCCTATCTATCTATCTCAGTCTGTTCATATCTATCTATCTATCTATCTATCTATCTATCTATCTATCTCAGTCCTTATCTATCTATCTCAGACCTTATCTATCTATCTATCTATCTATCTATCTATCTATCTATCTATCTCAGTCTGTTCATATCTATCTATCTATCTATCTATCTATCTATCTATCTATCTATCTATCTCAGTTTGTTCATATCTATCTATCTATCTATCTATCTATCTATCTATCTATCTATCTATCTATCTATCTCAGTTCTTTTTCTATCAATCCATCTATCTTTGTTCATATATGAGTTGGTCTGTATTTATCTATCTCAGTCTCTTCTTATTAATCTATCAGTCTATCTCAGTCTCTTTATATATATATATATATATATATATATATATATATATATATATATATATATATGTTTATGTATACATATATATGTCTATATATATATATGATTATGTATATATATATGTATATATATATATATATATATATATATATATATATATATATATGTATATATATATATATTTATTTATATATATATATATATATATATATATATATATATATATATATATATATATATGTATGTATGTATGTATGTATATAAATATATATATACATATATATATATATATATATATTTCTTAGTCTGTTTTTGTCTATCCGCCTTACTTTGTCTGTCTATCTCCCTTATCTATTTATCTAATTCTCATCTTTCTTAGTCAGTTTTTATCTAACCATCTATCTATGTATATATTTATTTACCTATCATAGTTCTTATCTATCTGTCTGTCTATGTTTCTATCTATCTATTTATGTATCTATCTGTGCATCTAAATAGGTTCATATTAATCTATCTAAATGTCAGTGTGTCTTTATCAATCTGTTCTTATCTATCTATCTATCTATCTATCTATCTATCTATCTATCTATCTCAGACCTTATCTATCTATCTATCTATCTATCTATCTATCTATCTATCTATCTATCTCAGTCCTTATCTATCTATCTATCTCAGACCTTATCTATCTATCTATCTATCTATCTATCTATCTATCTATCTATCTACCTATCAACCTATCTATCTCAGTCTGTTCTTATCTATCATATTCAGTCCTATCTATATATCTATCTCTATCTTTATTTCTCTATCTATCTCACTATCTGTCTGTTTATGTATCTATCTATTTTTGTATGTTCTTATATGGTTTATATATATATATATATATATATATATATATATATATATATATATATATATATATATATATGTGTGTGTGTGTGTGTGTGTATATATGTTTTTCTTTCTATCTATCTATCTATCTATCTATCTATCTATCTATCTTAGTCTGTTTTTATGCATGTATCTAACTACCTGTCTATCTATCTATCTCTGTAAATTATCTGTAACTATTTTTGTTCATTATCTTCCATTGTTAGGTCAGCTGCTAACAAAACTGGTTCACTGTGTCAGGCAAGATATTTTTCCTCTCCAGAATCTATCTTACATATCTATAAGTCTACCATTCGTCCATGCTTAGAATATTGCTGCCACATATGGTCCGGTGCTCCTGCAATATATTTAGAGATTCTTGATAAAATCCAAAGAAGAATCTGCAATGTTTCTCTCCAGAATCTATCTTACATATTTATAAGTCTACCATTCGTCCATGCTTAGAATATTGCTGCCACATATGGTCTGGTGCTCCTGATATTTACATTGAGCTCCTTGATAAAATCCAAAGAAAAATATTATTGGTCCTGATGTGGCATCCCAGCTTCAGTAAGTTTCCCACCACTGTAACTCTGTGCCTTTTCTATAATTACTTTCATGGTAATTTTTCGGATGAGCTCTTCACTATGGTACCTAGACTCTTTGAATTTAAGCGCAGCTCTAGACTAAAGTCAACATCTCATCAATTTAGATTTGAGTTGACTAGATGTAACTCTAAATTCTATGCTAACAGTTTCTTTTCTTGCACTTCCCACTTTTGGAACTCTCTTCTGGCTTCATGCCTTCCAGCCAACTTCAATCTTCAAAATTTTTTAAATGCAATGTCAATCGCTGTCTACTGTACTCCTGATTACTCTTTCCTCTTCCTGTTCATTATTAATGTTTCTGTTCCTAATTCTTCCACACCCTGTAAACCCTTGTGTCTTAGTGGCTTTACTCTCTTACTTGTGGAACTCCCTTCCAACTCCATGTTTTCCAGCCAACTTTAAAAAAATTTAAATACAATGCCAATTGCTATCTACTGTCCTCCTGATTACTCTTTCCTCTTCCTGTTCATTATTAATGTTTCTGTTCCTAATTCTTCCACATCCTGTAACGCCTTGTATCTTAGTGGCTTTACTGCCTTACTTGTGGAACCCCCTTCCAGCTTCGTGCTTTCCAACCAACCTTAATCTGCAAAAATTTAAATGCAATGTCAATCACTATCTACTGTCCTCCTGATTACTCTTTCTTCTTCCCGTTCATTATTAATGTTTCTGTTCTTAATTCTTCCACACCCTGTAACCTCTTGTGTCTTAGTGGCTTTATTGTCTTGCATGGGGTGAACTTGATAGAAAAAATCTAAAATTAAACTTTGCTTTATTCAAATAGGATGATGTTTGTGCCAACTGAACACATATTCCCCTGCATCCGTACTTGTAAAAGGTGTCCCTAAAGTTTGGACACATAGGCAAAAATGCATATTTTCAAGAAATTAAATTTTCAATATTTTATTGAATTGGGATATTAACAAAAATCTTCAAGATGATTTCCATCATTTATGATGCAAAGGTTGATGCACTTTGCAAGATTCATATGAACTCGATGCAATAACTTCAGATTGCCGTCAATTTCAGCACATTCACTCTTTATGCATTCGATCAAGTGTGTTGCTTCTTTTTCATTGAGTACACCATCTCATTTAGCTTAACCCTGAAAAAAAATTCTTTCTTCTTTTGACAAAACCATGTTTAATCTGTGGTGGTAAAAAATAGTTAATGAGATTTACTAAATGTAATGGATTTGACTGGAGTTTGAATTCTCATCAAAACTTACATGTTAGTACCCTTGGGAAAGATATGAATCCTCTTCTTCTCTCACGAGCTATGGGTAAATAGCAGGACAGACTGAATTCTAAGGCCTTGGATGACAACTAGTCTACCGCGGAAAGAAATGGCAACCTACTGCACAAAAAAATCTGCCTCGTCAGTCATGTATCAAAAGATACATGATCGCCTAAGCATGTATCATGCATGGCACATAACTGACTGACTTTACAGTTGAATCCATTACAGTCACATATGTACTAATACCTTTGGGAAAGGTATGAATACTCTTCTTCTCTCCCCAGTTATGGGTAAATAACAGGACAGACTGGGTTCTATAGCCTTGGATGGTCTACCACAGAAAGAAATGGCAACCTACTGTAGGAAAAAAATCTGCCTCGTGAGTCATGTATTGAAAGATACATGATCGCCTAGGCGTGTATCACACATGGTACATAACTGACTGAAGCCACATAGATTAGATGGCATGGTATGAAATGACTATGAACTTCTTATTATAACAAGCATTTGCGGCATTTCTTTTTAGAGAATTGCATTATTATTGGCTTGATTATTAATGGCCTTCAGGAATAGGATGTCATTTTGCATGCACATGAGAGTATGTATCCTCTTGTTCCCACCCAGCTATGGGTAAATAGCAGGACCGACTGAGTTCTCTAGCCTTGGATGGCAACTGGTTTACTGCAGAAAGAAATGGCAACCTACTACGGGAAAAAATATCTGTCTCATCAGTCATGTATTGAAAGATACATGATCGCCTATATATGTATCACACATGGCATATAATTGACTGACTGACTTTAAAGTTGAATCCATTACATACATTTACATGCTAAAACCCTTGGGAAAGGTATCAATCTGCTTTTTCTCTCCCCATCTATGGGTAAATAGCAAGACAGACCAGGTTCTATAGCCTTAGATGGCAACTGGTCTACAGCAGAAAGAAATGGCAACCTACTGCAGGAAAAAAATCTGCCTCGTCAGTCATGTATCGAAAGATACATGATCGCCTAAAGGTGTATCACTCATGGCACATAACTGACTAACTTTCCAGTTGAATCCATTACATTCACTTACATGCTAATACCCTTGGGAAAGGTATCAATCTGCTTCTTCTCCCCCCAGCTAAGGGTAAATAGCAGGACAGACCGGGTTCTATAGCCTTGGATGGCAACTAGTCTACCGCAGAAAGAAATGGCAACCTACTGTGAGAAAAACATCTGCCTCGTCAGTCATGTACCGAAAGATACATGATCGCCTACGCGGGTTTAATGCAATGTACATAACTGGCTGATATGTCCAGATTTTAGGGACACCCTCAGTAAATAGCAGTTTTACAAAGGATATTTCGTGTTGCAGTAGTTTTGTTTTATAAGCAGTAGTACCGTATGGACGAACAATAAGTAAAGAAATAAAATAAAATAATTAAGCTATCTTTGGATTTTCTGTTTCTTTCATCCTAAGAGTTAAAAAGCAATGTAGATATTTCGATTTTTGTTTTCACCACAACATTTGGCCTCTATTGATATTCTTTGCGTTTCTTCAGATGTCTGTTGTATCGGGTCACGTTAAAAAGAAACAAGCACACGCAACCTCGCCTCGCCCACGAAAACATCACTGAAATCGTCTGAAAAAATGGAATCCAGGAATTTTGGCTACAGCGGCCAGATCAATAGTAAAATAAAAAGAAAGAAACAAAAAATGACACACAGGTTCGTATACGTAAAATTGAATAAGCCATTTCGGCGGGAAAACGACATCTGAAAAAAAGTATATAAATAATTTTTTGTCGATATAGTCGCGGGTCGCATTGGTTGGCCTTCGAGTCTAGGGAATTCAAATGTTCCCTTTCTAAAGGTAGCAGATATGATCATTTTCTCTTTTTACACTGGCGTAATACAATCTTCCCTGTTGTAAAAGTCTAAGTGTAGGCATGTGTATTTACGTTACAGATAAGTACACAATTATTTATAAAAAATATTGTGTACGTTTATTGCACGAGAATGTAGGTATGGATGGATGGATGTAAAAAAAGCATACACGTGTGTTAAAACTAAAAAAGTGTAGTACTATAATTGAACTGTGTACCCACCGACTAAAGTGCGTTGCTGTTAATTTAGTTTTTAGTATTTAAATAATGACAATTGCTGGGTACTTTAAGTGAACTACTGTTTTTTTAAATTTTGTATGCGGCTTGGTAAATAATAGTCAACGCTTTTTGTGTAGCTATATTTGAAAATTAAACTTAAAAAAAATGTTTGAATTTAAAGTGCGTCATAAATATTTGTATTCATGGCGTCTGCTTTTATTTCAACATTTGTTTTTTTTTCATCGTCGCTATGAAAAAAAAACACGAAAAGGTCAATTCTAATTTAAAAAAAGAAAGATGATGATGCTGATGATGATTATGATGATTTTCCCCCCTCTCCCTTCCCCATCATTTTTTTTTTTTAAGCAGCACGCTTCCCGGGTAACACACACTTGTTTGACCTCTTACCCCTACGACGACGTTTTAGTCCTGTCATTTCTAAGGACATGGCGCTTGAGGAACAGCTTTTATCCTTAGACCCTGTGTAAAGAAAAAAACAAAAAACAAAACAAAAAAAGCATGAACGCTGCCAATGTTTCAACGTATTTTAAAAACGTTATTACTTTTTTTTTCTTCATTCTTAAGTTAATATTCAGTAGTGTTTTTTGGGTGGGGAATGCGTGTGCATTGGTGTACCTGGGGAGCTGCTGTCCAGTATCATTGTGCCTTGCAAAGTGACAATGAGACTAAATAAATGATTCAACTAACAACTGTTGCTCCACTGCTTCTCAACTGTTTCCCCACTGCAATTCTGCAAGACGCGCCACTTTGCTGGTTGTGCTTCTGCTGCTATCCGCTTCAGCCGAGCTGCTTTTCGACTGCAGTCCGACTGTAATCCAACTGCTTTCAGACTTCCTCTTTCCCCATCGCTTGCTACTATTTTCTTAATACTTCTACTGCTGCTGCCTAGTACAGGCCGCCAGTCACGGCACACATTTACACAAGGTCCTCATTTGACAAGCAAAAACAAATATTTAGGAAGATACACGGACCTGTTGGTGTTTATTCATCAAGTGAACCACCTTTTGAGAGAATTATATCACCATATCTATGTTTGGTCTTTAAAGGGATTTGCCATAAAAAACAAAAACAAAATTAAACTGGCTTTTTTTAGACGGAAAAGGACATTAATTTTGAATTTTCCCTTGTGAGTATATTTTTCCTTATTTATTGATATTTTCATAACATAGGATTTTTGTTTATATATATATATATATGTATATATATATCGATTTAATTATTTGCTTTGAATAAGAAAGAAAAAAGTTTTTATTTATTTAAGAATTTTTAAGCTTGCTTTTTTCCCCCCCAGGGAAAGAAACGGACATCACATTTTTCTTTTTAAAAAAGATATTTAAATTTAAATTGCGACATAAATAATTTTAATTTTTAAAAAAATGTAAATAAGTAAGTATTAATTGCATTTACCGGACTGAATGTAATTAATACTGTTTAATTAAAAACAGAGCATTTACTTAAATTGTATAAAAAAGAAATAACGTAAAATATTAAATAATTATTGTCTGACTTTTAAATCCATTTCATAAAAAAATGTAAAAGAAAAAAAAAAAGTAAAAGCAAGAAACATGATTTGACTTTTATTACGATTTAAATAATTTAAAAAAAAATATTTTTTCTTTAATTAAAAATAAAAACTTTTAATTAATTTACTTACTAATTAATTTAATCTTTGGTTGTCATTTAAAATTTTTTTTAGCAAGCATAAAAAAAGTAAAGAATAACATCTGAAAAATTTTTAAACAAGCAAATCATAATTTTTTTTATTTATATTCGGATTAAGCATGGGACGGTGAAGTGTGTTTTTTTGTGCATCGTATTTTAAAATAAGGAAAATTGTTGAGAAATTAAAAATCAAGTTGACAATCTTCATTGCATTTTCTTTTTTTGGCTTTAACAATATTTTATTTCATTTTTAAGTTAAAAATTGTATCAAAATAAAAATAAAGCCTTTTTCAGAATATGAAGCCAGGTAATAATGATTTCATATTTCATTTTACTAAAAGTCAGGATAAATAAATAAAAAAAAAACCCAAAAAATAACAGTTTCAGTTGGAATTTTAAATATTAATTTATTTTTTAAAGTAACTTTTAAAAAATGAATTCATTTCTTTCTGAAATAAAAAAAAACTGTATTTTTTAAACATTTTTTTTAATGTTTCTGTGACTGCAAAAGTCTTTTTTTTAATTTTATTGAAATATAAAAACCGTATTTGCAAAAAGAAACGAGGCTAAAATTATCAAAAATGAAAATGTTTTTAAAAAACCTGGACGACAAGATGGGATTTATCATTTGTAACTGACAACTTCTCATATCTGTCGGTCTGTCCATCTATCTATTCACTTTTTAGTGACTGTCAAACTCAGTCTGTCTTCGCATATCTATCTATCTATCTATCTATCTATCTATCTATCTATCTATCTATCTATCTATCTATCTATCTGACTCAGCTTGTTCACATAGTATAGTTTCTGGAGAGTTTATTTCATCTAAGTTTGTTCACATATCTGTCTATCTTTCTCAACTTGCTCACATCTATCTATTTCAACTCGTTCACATATTTTTATTTTAAATCAATGTCTATCTCACTCATCTTGTTCCTATCTATCTATCTATCTATCTATCTATCTATCTATCTATTCAACTTGTTCATATAATTTTTTAAATGAATGTCTATATATCTCAGCTTGTTCACATATTTGTCTGTCTATTTCAGATTGTACACATATCTGTCTGTCTGTCTATTTATCTCAGCTTGTTCACAGATCTGTCTGTCTATCTCAGATTGTATACATATCTGTCTGTCTGTCTGTCTATTTGTCTCAGCTTGTTCACATATCTGTCTGTCTGTCTGTCTATCTCAGCTTGTTCACATATTTGTCTGTCTATTTCAGATTGTACACATATCTGTCTGTCTGTCTATTTATCTCAGCTTGTTCACATATCTGTCTGTCTATCTCAGATTGTATACATATCTGTCTGTCTGTCTGTCTATTTATCTCAGCTTGTTCACATATCTGTCTGTCTATCTCAGATTGTATACATATCTGTCTGTCTGTCTATTTGTCTCAGCTTGTTCACATATCTGTCTGTCTGTCTGTCTATCTCAGCTTGTTGACATATCTGTCTGTCTATCTCAGATTGTACACATATCTGTCTGTCTGTCTATTTGTCTCAGCTTGTTCACATATCTGTCTGTCTGTCTGTCTATCGCAGCTTGTTCACATATCTGTCTATCTCAGATTGTACACATATCTGTCTGTCTGTCTATTTGTCTTAGCTTGTTCACATATCTGTCTATCTCAGATTGTACACATATCTGTCTGTCTGTCTATCTATCTCAGCTTGTTCACATATCTGTCTGTCTGTCTGTCTATCTCAGCTTGTTCACAGATCTGTCTATCTATCTCAGCTTGTTCACAGATCTGTCTATCTATCTCAGATTGTTCACAGATCTGTCTGTCTATCTCAGATTGTTCACAGATCTGTCTGTATATCTCAGTTTGTTTGCCGAAGCTTTTTCACATCTGTATCTATCTCATCAGCCTGTGTGTGTGTGCCTGTGTGTGTGTGTGTGTGTGTGTGTGTGTGCCTGTGTGTGTGTATATAAACAATACTTAAGAAGTTATAGCTTTCCTAAATTAAAATTATCAAAACTAAAAAGTTATTTTAGCAAATAGCGAGATCTTTCTACTTGTCGTCTACTAGTCGGAGGATTAGAGATTATCTTCTTCCTTCTTGTATGTACTTTAATTAAACTGATAAGTAGATATGATGAACAGATTAAGAAGACCAAAGTATAGCTAGGAACAGATTATGTGATATATTTAAAAAAGACTGAGATAGATATGAATCGATTTTCTTCCTAATGACTTCACAATATCTGTGTATACTCATATTTTGTTTTGTTGTCTTTGTAAAAGTATTTATTCTTTGTGAAATCCCTCTAAAAATCCTGGACGATGTAAGGAACCCCCCCAAAAAAAAAACAAAAAAAAAAAACCCCAAAACAAAACACGTCTTAATGTTCAACAGTTATTTTACTACTTTTTTTGTACATTTCTTTTTTTTTAATTTCTTATCTAAGAAGATCTTCCACAAATCATGACTTTGAAAACGTTTTTAAAATTAAAACACCTATCCCTATTGGAATGTTCCTTATTTTATTTATTTATGACTGTTATTTAATCACTGAAAGTCGTGTTGTAATAAAATCTCCATGCTTTTGCTTGAAAGCACCTGTAAAGTAAAAATGAAACCCTGTGACTTCAACACCAACAGTGTATGTGCGTGTTATTCTGGAGGAATTTATGCGAAAGAAAGCGGAAAATCTATTTGATTTCATTGGAAGTTTTCAAAACCTTTCCGTGCACATTGTTTTCTGTCTATAGCAGTTATTTTTGACATGTCTTTCTCAGCAAAACCATAAACCTATATTTAAAAAAACATGAAAACAGTGGGTCCAAACGAGGAAAACGTGACGGACATATTTTTGATTCTACGGATGATCATCGGGGTAACAATATAATTCATTGCGTGTGTAGGATTATCTCCGTGATTGATAAAAGTTGACGTCGTATTGGTTTTTAAAATTTCAAGATGCCATTTTATTTTTAAATATAAATTCAAAAGATACAAATTACTCACAAAAAACCCTAAACAAATAAAACAGTTTTCCAACATTTGTTTGATTGAATTAATTCAGTATAGAAAGCAACTTTGTCACTTACTCAGTAGTCCTCTACCCCGAGTGGCTCTTAGTATTTTTACAGGGTGAATATTATCGTAAAATAAACATGCGAGAATTCTTAAGTTCTATAATTTTGAAAGCTTTTAGTATGCGTTCAGTATGTTAACCATCGAGCTTTTTCGAAGATTGTTATTGTAAAAGTAGGGGACCGTTTTTTTATTTTTTCGTTTGCGCTTCGGATTATGTGGTATTAATTATTATGAGCAAGTTTAAGAATAAGTAATTCAAATAAATCTAATCCCCAATTATGCACGTTGTGATTCTGATCAATGTGAAGATCTGCGAAGAAAATTAACAGCACTGATAGTCTGTTTAAGTGAAAATTGTTATGTCGCGATTGGGCATCCATAAACGGAAATGGTGTCATGAAAAAATGTAATGATACAAGAAGAACAAGAAACATATTTGTCATTGTGATTTTTTTTTCTACTGACAGAACAGATCAGCCACGAAAAATGTGTTTCTTTTTTCTTTCTTTCATTTTTGTCCTCATTTTTACATATTGCCTGCTTTTTTTAAAATTTGGCTCCCGAAGAAAAAAACAATTCTATTTTTCAGCCTTTTTTTTTTTGCTCGCTTCATAATATAGAGAGCACTTTGAAAATAAAATAAAATAAAATAAAATAAAATAATTGCAAAACATTCCTGAATTTTTTTCTGGGTTCGCAACAGAACGAAAAGAAAGATTTGAGACTTTAAAAATATGGATAATAAAAAAAGAATCATATTGACAAAAGAAAACCAATAATAAAAACATGGTTAAAAAAAAAAAATACCACACCAGATTCCGCCTACGGAAAACAAAACTTCATCTTGTGACATAACTTTATCTTTTAAATATTAAATAATTAAATGAACATGTTAATTTTTTCGAGAATTTGTAAGTCTCTAAAAAATTTTAATTTTTTAGTCTCTTTAAAAATCTTAACATTCTTTTTTAATATCTGTTTAAAACATGCGTCATACTTCTGAATTTCTTTTTTTTTGCAAGTGTCCGCCACAATATGAAACGGAAAAAAAATGAAATCTGTTGCAATAAAAAACAAAAATCTTTTTAGAGTTTATTTTCTTGGTTAAGAAGAAACCCCGCCCTTTTAGAAATAAAAATGCCTTTTTTTCCCATCTCAATTAGGTCATGAGATAAAAGAAGGAAAGTTATTAAATAATAATTGTTTTCAGTTATTTAACATTTATTTGTTAATTGTTAATTAGAGATTTTTATTTGTTTTTAACGTTATTTTGCTGTAATTTTCGGAGATGTGTAGTAAATCTCAAATAAAAAAAAAAAAATCGTTTGTTAAATAATGAAAGAACAAAAAAAAATCAGTTGATATAGCAACTTTTAAAAAAATTGTTTTTTTTTTCTTTTCTCTTTAAAAAGTGCTAAATTTATTTTTCTTTTTTTAATATGAAATAACGTTATCATGGGGATGTTTTTTTTCTTCTTTTTTTGCCTTTTTCACTTGGTAACATTTTTATTTTTTATTTATCTGAATAATTTGACAAAAAACAAAAACAAAAAACAAACAAACAAACAAAGAAAACAACAACAAAAAACTATCAAACCCAAAACAAAACAAAAATGAGAGAAACGGATTTCCCCGGAGGAAATAAAAAAACAAACATTCTTACACATTCTTAGAGTTTCGTTGACCCAGCTGTATAAAATTAAATTTAAAAGGAAGGGTTTTTTTTTTTTAATTTTTTTACTTTTTTAGTCAATTGCGATATCATTAAAAAAATGTTCTGTTCACAGGCTAACATTAATTTTGTTTTCTTTCGAACGATTTTCAATCATTCAAGGTTGCTTTTCCTTTCTAGCAACAATAATCTTTATTTTTACTACCATACTACTACTACTACAACAGCAGCAACAACAACAAAAAACTACCACCAGCATCACCACCGCCATCATCTTTTCAATTAAAAATCCTTTAATGTCTGTATGTATCTTATAAATAAATTAACCATTCGTCCATGTATTGAATATTGTCGTATAATGTCACATCTTGTCTTGTGATTCTGCTATATATTTAAAGATCCTAACAGAATCTGCAATGTCATTGGTCCTGACCTGGCATATCGGCTTCTGTCCCTTTTCCATTGCCATAACATAGATTCCCTTTGCCTTTTCTATAAATATCATCATAGTAAGTGTTCTGATGACCTTTCCTCTATTGTATATAAATTGTATTCATTGTAAATATTCATTGGGGTTTCATTTTTAAATATTGTTATTTTATTACCCACCCCGACAATCAATTTGTAGCTATGGGAACTAGTAAGGACAATAGAAACTTTGAGGTATTAATGGTGGCTGTAGTAAGAATGTTCAGTAAGATTGTGTCGTTTGTAAGAAATACTGTGGTATGTTTGGATCTGTAATCGTGGCTAGCTAACTTTAAGGAAAGACAGAATGAAGGTAACCCCTTTTTGGCCTTGTGTCACATTTTTGTTTTAAAACAAAATAAATATTACTTTCCTCTAATTTGACTTTATAAATTTAAGCACAGTACTAGGTTGGCAGCATTTTGTATTTGAAATGGCTAGATGTAGCCTTAAGTTCTATGCTAACAGTTTCTTTTGCACTTCTTGCTTGTGGAACTCTCTTCTGGCTTCACGTTTGTTCTTCAAAAATTTAAATGCAATGTCAGTCCTTTTCTTAATTCCTGTTCTTTTATTGTTCTCTCTCCTTAATGCTTTTTCTTTTTCTTGTAT